GACACTATAAAGGCATAATGCCTGCTCACTAACATAATAACGGCGTAATGCCTACTCGCTAACATAATAACTGTGTAATGCCTACTCACATTATAACGAGATAATGTCTGCTCACTAACGAAATTACGGCGTGATGCCTACTCACTGACACTATAAAGTCATAATGCCTACTCACTAACAATAACGGCATAATGCCTACTTTCTGCCACTATAACGGCGTAATGTCAACTTACTAACATGACAACGTATCCCAATTGCGAGGATCGATGCTCATAATATCAATCACTGGATTGTCTGGTCCAGACACGATTATTTACAAACCGACGCCAGATAGCTGGAGTATTGCTGAGTGCGGCATTAAACAAACAAAGAAACACAAACATGACAACGACGTTGTACCAGTTCACCAAAAGCAAACCTGTGTCATCACAACGGAAACTGAGTATTTTCTGTACAGTAGAAAAAGCGGATGTGGTAATAAACCTGTAGATAGTACACACCACTGAATGTTGGCGAGACCATATGCCATGATGGCATGTTCTAAGGAGCTGCATCTCGAGTTGTGCCACTAAATAATGTCAGGATTTCATGATCGTGGACTCGAAAACCGTTTTACTCCCAGGTTTCGGGGTAAACATCAACGACCTGTATCACTTCTGTCTTTCCACCCACAAAAAAGCTAACATGCCGTTTTATAACTTGAAATACACAAACAGCGATAAATCCATCTGACTCTCTGTGTTTGTTTGTTTGATGTTTAACACCTCACTCGACAACATTGCAGTTATATGACGGCGGTCTGTAATAAGTCTGGACCAGACAATCCAGTGATTGCATCATCCATCGACACAGTTGAGATACGATCACCATGTCCCGAGCCTAGGCAACCGATCCCGTGGGTTATGTGAAGGCCAAGGTCAGTGTTAAAACACACAGAGCTAAAATAATATAGATCTAGCTGGATCTAGATCTAAGAAAACTGCAGTTGTAAACCCAAGTCATTCGCTGTATAATGAATACCCTAAGACCTAATTAGTTATTCTCTACCATCTATGTCATAGTCTCACGTACATTTGGTAAAAACATTCAGTCCTGTCAATTATTTACCTGGCACCATTGTTAGTAAGATGCCGATGAAGAAGCAATCATCAAAGCTACTGTGATTCCAGTGAACAGTTAACTTGCCGTTATAGGAATCAATACGGACATGCCCGGAGAGACAAAGATATCGACTGTGTTCGAGTATTATGAAAGTAAATGATAACGACTGCCTTGGGGTGAGTTTGCCATACAAATATATGACAATAAATGGGCTTGTTTTTATTTCCTTTGTATTTAATAAATACGACAAAACCTTTTCCGATGAAGTGCATATTGGAACAGAGGCCAACACAATACTGATTCCATGGATGACGGAATGATGGGATATAGTCATCTAGAGTTGTTGTTGGCTTTATAAACCCAGAGAACAACAAATGTTCTACTCCTTCATACAGATACGTTGTACAAGATTATGGATTTCAACATCTGTTTGTTTCGAGGCTGCTTCTTGCCCCTTCGTCTTTCACTGGGTGAATGGAAAACGTCGTCTCAAAACGTGAAAATAAAAGCGACAGACCCTCCCGCAAGCAAACTGCAGAAGTTCAAAAGAATTATGTCGCATTTGTCTATAACTTGCCACAATATAAATGCCTTGAAAAACTATTCCACAGTCCATATGACCCCATCCTTGGTCCTGAAATCTCTGCTGTCTAGCGGAGAGACCGTTTGCACGGACACACACACACACACCCACACCCACACACACACACACACACACACACACACACACACACACATAATTATATGAAAGCGCTAGCCTATTAAAACTGTGTTCAATCTTACTCCACTTATTTAATTATTACTATATAATTATTTATATTTATATATATATATATATATAGATATAGATATATACACACACACACACACGCACACACACACACACACACACACACACACACACACACACACACACACACACACACACACATACACACGTCGCTATGTTGGTACAATAATCTTTAACCCCCTTCCACCTCACCGTCATGGGGATTATTGACTATATATCGAGTCATCCCTAGTTCGAAGAGGGTGGATGAAGAAGAAATGGAGTCTGCCTGGACCGCAGGTTGCATCCAGGTAACGAGGTGCCACAAGTGAAAGCAGCGCTATAACAAGATTACCTTCACACACTGAACATTTGTTTTATCGATTAAATGTGAAAACATTAACGTCCAAGCAGTTCAGCTGTTGCTTATATGAATCAGCCTCTGTCTAGGGCTGACGTTAAATATTTGCTGAAAAGTACACGTGATACAGAGGAAATGGTAATTTTTCAGAATGAATACTAGGTGTTAGGGACACAGCCACAAACTGGGAGGAACTGTGGTTAATGCAGATCACAACGCTAAAATCTCTTTCAGGGTAAGACTACTACATATGAGTTAACAAAAATATATTCTGTTTATGGGAGAGTAGAAGACATTATTGAAAGAGGAAAAACCTAAGTCATTGCAACATGCTTGATGTCTGGTCATCCTTCGAGGTGGGGCGGTTAATATATGTGTCTGCGTGTATCTGTGTGTGTGTGCGTGCGTGTGTGTGTGTGTGTGTGTGTGTGTGTGTGTGTGTGTGTGTGTGCGTGTGCGTGCGTGCGTGCGTGCGTGCGTGTGTGTGTAACTGTTGTTTCTGTGTGTGTCTGTCCATGTGCGTATCTTATGTGTCTGTGTGTCTCTGTGCATGCGTATGTGTCGGTATTCTATTCCTCCCCCCCCTCTCTCTCTCTCTCTCTCTCTCTCTCTCTCTCTCACTCTCTCTCTGTGAGATAATTACTCAATACATACGGCGATCAATTATGATAATTTCACAAATACGTTACTAGCATAAACCGAATCAATAACATTATCGATCGCCTTTCAATTCCTTACATGTATTTTCTCAATTCTTCACTGACATGTATCAGTGGCGCTCGGGAAGTGGGACTTGACACTCGGAATAAAATTAATATGTCCTAATATCAATTATGAACATGAACATCCTGATGAGTCGGTTTAACGTACACAATGGCGCCTTGTCAATGCACCAGATCAGATTGACAGGTTTCCGGATATACGAAGCACGAATTGTCATGGAGATGAAGCGTTTTGCCGAACTTTGCTCTCCTCGACGCTACATCACAGTGTCACAACACAGTTTAGTCTGAGGATCAACGACTAGCAACAGGAATAACGAGGGACAATCCCTGTTTTCATTATCCGTATCTCGTTGTGTAGTCTAATGTTATTTAATAATAATAATAATAATAATAATAATAATATGCATTTGTACAGCGCTGCATTCACATAAGTGCTCTGTGCGCTTTATGTAAGGCTACACATATCATTCACACAAATGACAAACACAAAAGATAGCCATGTGTGAATGACAGCAGTGCAGTAAAAAGGTGGAATACGTGTCAGTGTCCGGCACATTATCGTCTCTGGACCAGACAAACCTGTGATTGATGTTATGAATACGTCGCCCACACCACCGATCAAAGGTGACACACAATCAACTGAGTCAAAGAGCCTGACGGGCCCGTGTTTGGAGGTAGTGAGCAACGTTGGCATGTACGCCACTGTCAGCAATCTTCAGGAATATACGAGAAGGGGACAGCAGAAATGCCTTCACACATCGTACCCATATGGGGAATCGAACACGGGCTTTCGAAATGACATCCGACTGTCGTTATAGCAAGTTTAATAAACATCGGATACCCCAATCTGATTGTCGTGAATACAAGTATAATACACATCAGATATAGGTCTAGTAAACAACAGAAACCAATCTGATTGTCGTGAATACAAGTGTAATAAACAACAGATACCAGGCCAAGAAACTGCAGAAACCATCCTGGTTAGCCTAACATTATAATTTGTCTATCTGGTCATAGAATGGTCTGACCTATACCGCTTGAGACATTTTAAGACTATCTCTACCCATGTTTCTTCATTGCATCATACGTGTATGGCAATTGCCCTTCTATTAGCCACACGCCCACTCCATCAGAATGTGTTTTTCTATTTCTGGGGACACTTTATTTGTGTTTATAATTGATAGCGGACAATGTATCATATATGACGTCATACGTATTCACCAAAATTGAAACGACATCGACATATTTGGAATTTCAATAGAACCAAATTATATATGAGATACAATTACAATGGTGTGAACGCTACCCGAGGACAGTGTAAGAGGCGTTATGATCAATAAAGTTGGTTACCTCTGCTTTGAACAGTATTACCATTACACCAGGGCGTCCGTTTGCTGTGGGAGGGAATCCCGAAGTGATGTGGATCATAGGTGTTTATCGTTTGGTGAAACCAACAAGAGTAGGTGTGGCTAACTCGCCATGATAACCGGGTCGGAACACGTATTCGAACTCTTAGTGGGAAGAATTCAGATAATTTACTCAAACCCAATCACGGGCAGAAAGAGCTGACATCGCTAACAACATACAACTCTCGTGTCCCTATAGCAGCTGGTGAGGAATCAATTGTTTATGCTTGCTGTAGCTTTTGCGTCGTCTGTGATGTCTGACTAATTCATTACATCTGATCAGAAGATATATTGATAATTATTCGAGGCATGTCAACATGTCTAGCTACACAGAGACATTAGTGAGATTCCTAAACATAAGTTGATTTCAGATTATTGTCTATTCACACCATACCATTCATATTTCAATTAGATGCACTATGTAGAAGGGCTCACATCGACAAAGCGGCAATCACAACGGATATGAATTTAATTGAATATGTCACCTAATACCAACGTTTTTGATGGGTGACTCACGACTATACTGCCGTTCACGGCACATGTCGACACAATCACAATAACAGCTGTGTCCGGGACAGTGTGTCATCGGAAACATAACAACGCACCTTACACAAGTAAACAAAAACAACGGCACTTACCCATTCCAGGAATAAAGACATTCAACACTAAACAGAAAACTGCAACTGGCTTCGACATGGCAGGAATTGAGTCCCTAAGACTAGTGTCTCCTTCAGTTAATTTCTCCTTTGACCTGTGAAGCATAACAGAGGGTGGGGGTCCCACAATATACCCCGGGAGCACCGGCCGACCATACCCCCCTTGGTAAGCTTTCCTTTGCAGCCTTGGGGAGGGGGTGGGTGTCGACGACCCGCCGCTGTACACAACCTGCATGGCGTACACAGTATGGGTACAGCTTGTACTTGATGGCTCTTCAAGCGAGGAGAGTTGGCGCTTTACATAAAACGTCTTGATCCAGTCTCAGACAAACACGATAGGGAATCCAGCTCCTTTTGTGTGCTGTGGTGATGGTAGCGATCTTACCTTCCTCTTCGTCGCTTCATGCGTTCTGTCGTTACTTAGGCGATTTCTGTTTGGATGCCTCAACGAATTGATCTGGCGGTAGCCGGTGCGAATCCTGGACAGGTAGATCTGGAATCGGATGGGGTGAAGAGAAGATGACGAAGTTGAACATTTATACAAAGCTGATAAGTGTAAACAGAAAGTAGGCTATGCTGTCTATCAGCTGTCCCCGGCTTCAACTGAGGACTACAATGTTGTCGCGGATACTCCTCGAGGGATACTGGATACGATCAGGTTGAGGCTGTGGTGGAGTGGTGATGGGCAGTGAACGCTGAATGACCATTCTGGTCATCTGTCCGACCCGTTCGCACATGGACGGTGTGACAGGCTGATTGAGTTAGGAATCCGACATCGATTTGTTTCCCTGTCGTACCGGTTGCTGCACTGAGGCAGTTGGAAACAGCTGGTTGGGAGACGGCTTTGTCAATTAATAACTCGATCCACGGTTATTTCACGGCCAGCTTCTCGCCACCCACGGTGGACTAACATGTAGCTCTGAATAGAACTTTCTTTCGCAAGAGTTCTCCGTTTCATTGATACACCTTCGCAGGTCGAGATGTAGAACCAGGAATTATATTAGCACTGTAGTTTTCCTTGTTCGTGTCTATGTGGGATTGTGTGTATAATACCAGTGATTGCGTCTCAGTCGCCCAACATCTTGGATTTTTTTTACGAAGAATATCTTCCAGGGAACAGTGAGGTGGTGGGGTTATGTCTTCCTCCATGTTTAGTTATAACGAATGAGTGTACATTTACGTTACGATAACAATAACTCCGTCGTGTCAAAGTGGGTGTAGCTAGACAAACAGGTGACGCACATTTAGTCAGCTGCATCCACTCACATGTTGGATTACCTTCTGGGGCATCACCAAACTGAGTATTTTGTTAGGTCAAGAGCTTTAAGAACATAACAGTTCACTTTAGTAGATAATGTTTCATAGCAGGATCCGCTGGTCGTGAGATCGAATCTACCATTCTGGTCCTTGGTTTGTCAGTACCACGTCCGACAGGTGTTAGTATGTTCAGTATCAGAGGAGTTCAGTGTGGTTTTGGAATTGGAATAATTGGGATATTTAGGTTGAAAGGGGTGGGTGAAAGATGGGGGAGGTTACTTGGTATCGGAGTTTGAATATTTAGGTTGAAAGGGTCGGAGGGAGATGGGGGAGGTTACTGGGTATCGGAGTTTGAATATTTAGGTTGAAGGGATGGGTGAAAGATAGGGGTGGTTACTGGGTATCGGAGTTTGAATATTTTAGTTGAAAGGGTTGGAGGGAGATGGGGGAGGTTACTGGGTATCGGAGTTTGAATATTTAGGTTGAAAGGGTCGGAGGGAGATGGGGGAGGTTACTGGGTATCGGAGTTTGAATATTTAGGTTGAAAGGGTCGGAGGGAGATGGGGGAGGTTACTGGGTATCGGAGTTTGAATATTTAGGTTGAAGGGGTGGGTGAAAGATAGGGGTGGTTACTGGGTATCGGAGTTTGAATATTTAGGTTGAAGGGGTCGGAGGGAGATGGGGGAGGTTACTGGGTATCGGAGTTTGAATATTTAGGTTGAAGGGGTGGGTGAAAGATAGGGGTGGTTACTGGGTATCGGAGTTTGAATATTTAGGTTGAAAGGGTCGGAGGGAGATGGGGGAGGTTACTGGGTATCGGAGTTTGAATATTTAGGTTGAAGGGGTGGGTGAAAGATAGGGGTGGCTACTGGGTATCGGAGTTTGAATATTTAGGTTGAAAGGGTCGGAGGGAGATGGGGGAGGTTACTGGGTATCGGAGTTTGAATATTTAGGTTGAAAGGGTCGGAGGGAGATGGGGGAGGTTACTGGGTATCGGAGTTTGAATATTTAGGTTGAAAGGGTCGGAGGGAGATGGGGGAGGTTACTGGGTATCGGAGTTTGAATATTTAGGTTGAAGGGGTGGGTGAAAGATAGGGGTGGTTACTGGGTATCGGAGTTTGAATATTTAGGTTGAAAGGGTCGGAGGGAGATGGGGGAGGTTACTGGGTATCGGAGTTTGAATATTTAGGCTGAAGGGGTGGGTGAAAGATAGGGGTGGTTACTGGGTATCGGAGTTTGAATATTTAGGTTGAAAGGGTCGGAGGGAGATGGGGGAGGTTACTGGGTATCGGAGTTTGAATATTTAGGTTGAAGGGGTGGGTGAAAGATAGGGGTGGTTACTGGGTATCGGAGTTTGAATATTTAGGTTGAAAGGGTCGGAGGGAGATGGGGGAGGTTACTGGGTATCGGAGTTTGAATATTTAGGTTGAAGGGGTGGGTGAAAGATAGGGGTGGTTACTGGGTATCGGAGTTTGAATATTTGGGTTGAAAGGGTCGGAGGGAGATGGGGGAGGTTACTGGGTATCGGAGTTTGAATATTTAGGTTGAAGGGGTCGGAGGGAGATAGGGGTGGTTACTGGGTATCGGAGTTTGAATATTTAGGTTGAAAGGGTCGGAGGGAGATGGGGGAGGTTACTGGGTATCGGAGTTTGAATATTTAGGTTGAAAGGGTCGGAGGGAGATGGGGGAGGTTACTGGGTATCGGAGTTTGAATATTTAGGTTGAAAGGGTCGGAGGGAGATGGGGGAGGTTACTGGGTATCGGAGTTTGAATATTTAGGTTGAAGGGGTCGGAGGGAGATGGGGGAGGTTACTGGGTATCGGAGTTTGAATATTTAGGTTGAAAGGGTCGGAGGGAGATGGGGGAGGTTACTGGGTATCGGAGTTTGAATATTTAGGTTGAAGGGGTCGGAGGGAGATGGGGAAGGTTACTGGGTATCGGGGTTTGAATATCTAGGTTGAAGGGTAAATGATGTGGGTGGTTACTGGTTAAAGTGGCGTCAAGCAGCCAATCACTGTCCTTTGTGTCATAATGCTACATATGCCCCAGTAACATTGAACACACGTGCACATACCGCAACATCATCCCCTTGTATGCGTATGCAATGATGGCGACTAATCTAGACATTCCCCTGAAGGAGTCAACTGAGATTTAAAAAGACGAAACTAATTTAGACGCGATGATCATAAAAGAGGCGCAAATACGCACACAATGTATATCATTGAACATAATTCGATACAATATGTTTATTAAAATAACTGTACTTAAAGACTGATGAGAATCGAACACAGATGTAATGTCATGCCTTCCCAGAGTGTATTGTCAAACAAACTGATTATAACAGTTACCGCAACTATGCATGTTGTTACCTTTAGTACATTGTAGAAATCAGTATTTCAAATTATTGAAAGAAAAATACTTTTTCACAAATATTAGCTTCCGAGGGAGGCTGCTGACAAGTATGCTGTTTCAATGAAGGTGATAATTTTGGTTACAAACCTTTGATGGCATTGACCAATCAGAATCGAGTATTCCATATTCGTGGTAGAATCGGGATTGAATGCAGTACCAATAGGTCACGATCTAACCGTCTTCGTGATTAAGCGGCCGTAATTTATATTCGCAGTGTCTCCTGTCAAAACACTTAGTCATAAAATAAAGTTGAAATAAATTATAGACTTTTTAAATGTTGCCTTAAACAACGTACTTCAACGCAACTGTATATATGTTATGACAATAGGAGCTCGACAGTTATAATATTTGATAATTGCCACAATGTGCGTGTGTGTGTTATCGTAATAGTGTGGATAAACGTCAGAGTATTAGATGCTATTCTCGGGGATGTTGATGTAAATGCCGTCACCTCGTGAGATCAATACGGTTGTCACTCCTCCGGATGAAAAAATGTCCTACCTTCACAGCAGAATTATGTTGGGGCTTAGCCGCTGTATGGCGTGTTATGTGACGTGTCATCTCTTAATACTCTGTACTTGTGTGAATGTGTCATTTTCATTATATGAAAACTGTTTTGCAAGATTAATTTCTGACATTTAAGTACTGTGTGTGAGATAAATGGGGGGAGTCGGCAAGCATTCTAAAACATTCGAAAAATGTATGTGTGAGCGGGTATTTATCAAAAGGACTATGAACTCAAGACATTAAAGACAGACGACTCCTCTTGGCTGATATTCAGTAATGAATTCTGCCCGAGGGGATGCAGGGTTAGAATTGGTCCCTAGCAACCTATGCTGGTCGTTAGAGACGACCAAATCGATCTGGTGGTCAGGTCCGGCGACTTGGTTGATAGCACCGACGTTGTTCACAATATCAATCACAGGATTGTCTGGTCTGGATTCGATTATGTACAGACCGTCGTCAAATACCAAGGTATGCATCCAGTGCACGCTGAAGAGCGCCACACAACTAATAAATACAAAGAAAAACAATTTCTTTTTCTATTGTGTTTCTTCCTCCACACATGATTGCATTTCAAGTCTGAACTCTTTCATCCAATATCGATGTTCCTTATTGATGTTTTGCCAACGCTGACAAAGAACAATTGCAGACTTGGAAATATTAACCAAGCGGAGATGCACATCGGTTATGTCCTAACGTTTCCTCTCAGTAGCCCTTACCGTGTGTAAGCAACATCTACGTCTAGTCTAGCGGCACAATGAAAGCTCATATTCCATGCACGAGAGACGGATCATGTCTCATGTTGATGGAATGGTATTTGGCGGAAAACTAAGCGGATCTCGACCACACTGGTCTTAATTTAGCAGACGTGCATTCCGACAGACGACAACATGCGACTGCACGCTTGTTCATGCTTGGAATGTTGTTTACAAATGTGTGTTACATGTAATTATGTTTCCGCCATTTTGGCGATAGCTGATCACGTCAGATGACAAACAAAACCGTCCTTGACCTGTCTGTGACCTCTATGGCAATTTAAAGACTGGGACGTGTTTAGATGGTGTAACTAGTGTGCGTCCATGAATTTTAGCATGTCAAGGGTATATTTGCATTCCAAATAATATATATCTATTAAACAGATTATATGTTAACCACATTGGTGCTACCCACGAGCACAGTAAATGCTTAGTCGATGCATAGAGTCTTGAAGACAAGGCCTACTTTTCAGATTGCGCCAACTTGGAATTAGAGGAAACATATGTTCATGTTTATTAGAGGAAACACGAAAATGGTACCCACAAGAAAGTGTTATGAGTCCTATTCTATTCAAAATGATGATAAATAAATGTTAGTGCCGAGAGTTTGCACATGGTGGAAAGTTTTGGAGACGGTTTAGTTATTTTCAGTTTGTCTTGGAATCCACCCAAAACATCAGTACCTGGTTTTCATTGTGGGATTTAAGGTATCCCAATCAAACGCAGTAGAGATGATCACAAGGCGAAAACTTCCTTACGGCAGCACTCTATCTCGCGTGCCAGGTGTCTAGGTCTGCGTCTAAATGTCGTCTTAATAAGCTTGACCGATTTAGTCTAAAGCTTTGAGAATTTGCACAGAAGCCTATGCAACAACTCTATTAACATGGGGAAAAGGAACAAAGTTTCACAAATATTTTATCACGTTAAATGCCACATATTAAGAATTGGAAATTGTGAAATTAGGGAATATTACAACTAACGGCTACGTTCCATTATCCTAATGACTGCCAAGGGTCAAACCGATAACGCATATCGGACAGGACCCGCATCTCTCATGGTGCTGGTCTGGTAGAGTTAGGCAAACAAATATAAGACGTTAATATCTGTATCTGTATCTACAGCTGTCTATCATCCACCCTTATCTAATCACCCGTACCACGTATACATTCGTTGCATACAAGCAACTTGTAAACTATTATCC